TACTCACAAAGGGGCCAGTGGTGCTACTATCAGTATAGATGTTCCCACCCCCTCTCATGAACCAAGCAGCTTAACATGTTCCTCTAGTGCATCTCCAGTTGACAAAAGAGGAGAACCTGTAAATGGGGAGGACAAGGATGATACCAATGACAAGAAGAAGAAAAAAAGACGATAACTGCCATAACTTCCCTGTCGTGGGGGCTCTAGGTTTAGTCCTCAGAACCCTCCTTTGATGTTTTTGTTGCATAGAATATCAGGGGTCTTAATTCCCCTGAAAAACAAAAGGAAATAAAGCAGATTATCAGTGATCATAATCTGTATATGATTGGCATTCTCGAAACCAAGGTTCAGGAGGCTAACATTGATGGAGTTCATAGAACCATTGCCCCATTATGGCATATTCATCACAACTATGAGTTCTCTGGGTTGGGTAGAATCTGGATTTGGTTCAACACTACTTTTTTGAAGATTCACAAGCTTTCATCTAATGCACAAGCTATTCACTGCAGTGTTACTACCATCCATAATCAATTTCATTTTTTTGTCACATATGTTTATGCTTTTAACACTGCTTGTATGAGGGAAAGCCTATGGAATAATATTATAACCCAATTTTCATCCTTCTCTATATCTCATTGGGCTCCGTTGGGTGACTTCAATATCATAAGACACCCAATGAGAATTTTGGGAGGTCCCAAAGGTGGAATACAGGTATGGGTGACATCAACAGTTGTATTTTGGATTGTGAATTGACTGACTTAAGGTATACAGGGGTCTTCTACTCATGGTCTAACATGAGCCATGGATCTGTCAACATTTCTAGAAAGTTGGATAGGGTTTTGGTCAATGATAAGTGGCTCTCTGGTCTTCCTACTTCCAACTGTGAGTTTCTCCCTTTTAGGGTCTCAGACCACTCGCCAATGATTATTAGTAGTGGGAACCCCATTACAAAGAATAATATTCCATTTAAATTCTTCAATTTCGTTGGCAATCACAAAGATTTTCTAACCACTGTGGCATCTGTGTGGCAAACTCAGATTCCTGGCACTCTTATGTATCAGGTGATGAAGAAGCTTAAGTTACTCAAACACAAACTGAAGTTGCTGAACAAGAAGGAATTTAGTGAAGTGTCCCAGAGAGTGGTTGAGGCTAGAGAAGCTCTTAGTATACCTGCCAAAGGTCTCTTGATAATGACCCTAGTAATGAGCACCTTAGGAGAAAGGAAAATGATGTCCATTGCTGAGGAGCAATTTTATCTCTAGAAGTCTAGAATCAAATGGCTCAAAGTTGGAGATCAAAACACAAATTTCTTCATGAAGACATTCAACATGAGATGCAATATGAAGAAGATTGTTAAACTTAACCTTGCTGATGGTGGATCAACAAAATCTCCAAATGTCATCAAAGATGAAGCTGTCCACTTCTTTCAGAACATTTTAGGAAGTGAGCCATTCTCCTATCCTAGTATTAATGCCTTGATAGGAGTCTTCAACAAAAGTGATTCAAGCTAGTTCATTGACTCTTTAGCTGCTGTTCCCTCTTTGGATTAAATTAAGGATTGTTTCTTTGCACTGAACAGCACAAAGTCCCCTGGACCAGATGGGTATAATACTTTCTTTCTTTTTCAAGAAATCATAGCCTATTGTTGGCAATGATGTCTCTATGGCTGTGAAGGAGTCTCAGACCACTTATCTTTCTCTTGTTCCAAAAGTTTCTAATCCTTCTTCCATGAATGTTTATAGACCTATAGCATGTTGTAACACTATCTATAAAGTTATTTCCAAACCCATTGCTAAGAAGATCCAACCTGTGTTACCTTTCATTGTGGGTAAGGACTAAACTGCTTTCATAAAGCAAAGAAGATTGGTGATGGAATTTTTATTGTCCAAGAACTGCTGAAAGGATATCATTCTAGTGCTAGTTCTTCTAAGTGTTCTCTGAAGATTGACCTCCATAAGGCCTATGACTCTGTTAACTAGAACTTCATTATTGATTGCCTCTCAATCCTGTAATTCCCCAAAGAGTTTGTTCAATGGGTTTCGACATGTATCTCATCTCCATCCTTCTCTATCTCTGCCAATGGGGAGCTAGCTGGATATTTCAAAGAAGGATTAAGACAAGGTAATCCCATTTCACCTTTTCTCTTTGTGATTGTGATGGATGTGTTGGACTCCATCATCAATAAGCTTGTTGCTGAGGATGGCCACTTCAAGTACCATTGGAGATGTAAGGCAAATAAGATCACTCATCTCATTTTTGCTGATGATCTTCTTCTGTTTTATCATGGTGATCCATATTCTCTGTCACTTCTTTTTAAGGGTCTTCATGAGTTCTCGGCCTTGTCTGGTTTGAAGCCTAACCTCACCAAGAGCCAAATCTTTACTGCTCATATCCCTGATGTTATTCAAGACAGCATGGTTGCTTCCACTGGGTTTGAGATTGGCCACCTGCCTCTCAGGTATTTGGGTCTTCTTGTGAGTAATAGTAAGGTATAAGTTAATGACTGCAGAGTTCTTGTTGAGAAGATCATCTCTAGGATCACCAATTGGACCTCAAAGTTTCTTTCTTATGTTGGGAGACTACAACTTGTCAAATCCATACTCGTTAACATACATTTGTATTGGAGCAGACATTTTATCCTTCATCTCCAAGTGTTAAGCCAAATTAATTTTGTCTTAAGGAAATTTCTGTGGACAGGGAAAGAATTGAAAGCCACTGGTGCCAAAGTCAACTGGTTGGCTGTTTACAAGTCTAAAGATTATTGAGGGCTTGGGCTCCCAAATGTAACTGCTCTTAATAGGATATCCATCCTAAGACACATCTGGAAACTTTTCAGTGACAGTGGACAATCCCTTTGGTATGATTGGGCACACTCAGTCTTGATCAAGCAGAAAAGCTTCTGGACTCTCAAGCCAAATCAGCTTAGCTCGTGGAATTGGAGTATGCTTCTTAAGTTGAGAGGCATTGCTAAACCTTTCCTCAAACACCAATTAGGCAATGGGAAGGATATTTCGCTTTGGCACGATTACTAGTTACCTTCTAGCCCATTATATGAGAGAATTGACCCCATTCTCATACAAAACTCCCCATGGAACATTCATGCAAAACTTGAATGTCTTTTAAGGCATGGTCAGTGGAGGTTCCCTCCCCAATTTAGGAGTTTGTTTCCCTCCATTGGTGTTATTGAGCAACCTCCTATTATTACCAACAACAACGATACTCCTTTATGGACTCTATCCATTACAGGGAAATTCAGCTTGAAGCACACGTATGATGCTTTCCTTCCCATAGCTCCTCTCTGTAGATGGAAATGCATTATCTGGTACTCAAATCACATTCCTAGTCATGCCTTTGTTACGTGGCTTGCAATACAACATAGACTTCGGACTAAGGATAGGCTCTTCAACCTACAGCCAGGTGATTCATGGAGATGCAATTTATGCTCCAATGAGGACGAGACCCACGATCATATCTTCTTCAGATGTATGTACTCTGCTCGGATTTGGGAGCACATCCAACACAAATGTGGATTTTATTGTGGGGATTCAAGCTATCTTGTGATAGCTAATCGCATGCTGACTCTGTGGAACGCAGAGCAACAATCTATTACTGCTCTACAGATCAAGCTGTGCTTTTCAGCTTGTATCTACTATATCTGGAGAGAAAGGAACAATCGCATCTATTCCTCCAATAGAATTTCTGCGGATGCGACTTGGAAGCTTATGGAAGATTGTGTTCGGCAGCGATTGTTGTCGTGCAAGTTTGATAACTCCAGAACCGCAAGACCAATTGCTATTGATTGGAGATTGCCAAGCTCTACTGTGGCGTCTTCGTCTTAAGCGATTTAATTTGTTTTCTGCCCTCTGATCATTGTTTGAAACTACAGTTGTTGGATGGGCTTCTGTTTTGGGTCTCCAGGCTTGGGCCTGCTGGTGGGCTAGCCCACCATTTCTTTTCCTTTTCCTTATTTTTTGTATATATTCCTTTTGTTTTATAAAGTTGGTTGATTTACCCAAATAATAATAATAATAATAATTAGTTAATTAATTAATTAAATTAAAAAAATAAAGAGAAGAAAAGGTAGTTATATTAGGATCGAATTGCATTAAATTCCTGAACTATTCAAATGTTTCAAAAAAACACCCCTAAACTATTTTGTGTCAAATAATCTCTTCAATTCTATTATTCTATTCAAAAGTTGCCAAATTACACTACTCTGGAATAGACTACCATCCAAGCCTGTAATTTTTTTTTTGTGATTTTACTATTTTGCCCTTAAAAATTAGGAGTGGGCAAAAAACCTGCGAATCCGATCCATACAGATCGGATTGCCAGACCCACGGATCGGTGACGGATTCAAAAAATTTGAATCCATAGTTCATGGATTAGGTTGCAAAAGTCCGATCCGATCCATGATTCCAATCTGTAATATGTGTATATATATATATATATATATATATATATATATTATAGTAATATCTTTACTTTTTCGTAACTAGCATATATATATATGTGTGTGTGTGTGTGTGTGTATATATATGAACTCCTAACATACCGTACTTTTTCTGTTTTCTTTTTTTGGTAACTATTATACTATTAGTTTTATAATATTTATTACTCAATCAATAGCATTGGACTACCGACTTTTCATTTAAACAAAACTTAAACCTAGTCAAAGATGAAAGAACTCAAAGAACTAAAGATGAGCAGAGAGAAAAACGACCAACTCACCTATTATGCATTTAAATTGGTTTTATCTATATTCTGTTATACACTTATACTACTTTGTAAATGGATATAAAATTGGTGAAAATAGATTATTTTGAACAATTCAGTCCGCGGATTGGATCCGATCCGATCTGTCTTTTCATGGATCCGATCCATTGGCTAACGGATTGGTGGCGGATTCAAAATCTTCCAATCCGTTACGAGCGGATCGGATTAAGATTAATGCCTAATCCGATCCGATCGATTCGATTCGTGGCCACCCCTATTAAAAATGATACGAAAACCCTTTAAGCATATGGTTTTGATTCTTTAATTTTTAGAATCAGAACCATACCGCCTCTCACATAATTGGACCAAAACCATTTGGTCCCGTCCAATTTATCTAATCTAACCATTTTTTTGCTCCCTTACATATTAAAATCTTGTAGCATGTCAGTATTTTTCTTTGAAAACCTTCTGTTTTTTTTTTTTTTTTTTTTTTTCTTTAATGTTTTAACTAAATTTCTATATATCTTTTTTAAAATTTTAATTGATCTGTCAGATGTTACATTGATCTTGCTCAAAGTTTATGGTTTCTAAGTACAATCATATTATATTGAACTTTCTTGTTGAAGAAAGTGAATTTTAAGATGTGACAAAACGAGTGAATACTATATTATATTGTATTCCACCGTTTATGGACCGTGTATCCTCGTATTTAATACCACACGAATTTAAACTCGATTCTGGATCCTCATATTCAATACAACACGAATTTAGACACAATATAACATATTACATATGCATCAGGTTCAGAAAAAGAGGAGCTTAACCCCATGCATGAGCGGAATTGAGGAAAAGCCTAAACCAAAAACCGAAAAAAAAAAAAAAGTGGAACCTTGATGGTCCACACGTGCGAGTAATTCCTTTAAAATTGGCGGGGTTCATACGGTTATTCCAACAGAGTCGGGGACATAGCGATGGGATGTAGACCTGTTCGTTCTCTGCTAAACTCAAAACCGACCTTTACATTTCTCCGGATCTCCTATATTCCACATCTCTCTCTCTCTCTCTCTCTCTAGAACTTCACCTCTTTTTCTATTTTCCGATTCTGATCTCTCTCCATCGCCATGGATGAAGAATATGACGTTGTGGTTCTTGGAACAGGTCTCAAGGAATGCATTCTCAGCGGTCTCCTCTCTGTCGATGGACTCAAAGTAAGCATTTCTCTCTCTCTCTCTCTCTATATATATATATATATGCACACACACACACACATGTAAGTATGAATGCAAGTGTATGAACTTTGCTTCAACTCTGTAATGAAATTCAGGAAATGCTTTGAATTCGCTGAGTATTCTTGATCCCAATCAATTAAAGATGCAGAGTTGCTTTTATGTCTTTGAATCACACTCTGATTTGTTGTGATGCATCTGAGATTAGTGTCAAATATTGTTTTTATTTTTGTCTCTCTTTCTTTTTCATGAGATTTGAATATACCTATATTTATATATATATATATATATTGTCTGTATATGTACTCTAGTATTGGTATAATTCTGTAGATAGACGATGTTCCTAATTCAGTGGTGCTTAGATGGATTTTTGAGTGTATGTTGTATGTCACAAATTTGTGTGTTTCATATTGATTAGTGAATTAGATATAATCCAATTTAAAAGTTGCTTAGCTAGCTAGGTATTAGTGGTAGCTATTATAATGATGTGTTCTCATAGAATTGATTGTTGATTTTTATGTGGATGAGGTTGAGGAGTTCGAATTAGGGATTATTAAAGCAGCCTGCAATAGGTACTTGCTCAGTATGTTCCTAGATCTACAATTGTGATTGAAATGCATGTGCAATATATATATATAATTGGGTGATAATTCTGGTTGAGGGGCTAGGATCAGAACCCTAGGCTCTGATATAGAGTTGAGCAAGGTCGGTGATCTAGACCTAGATGGTGATGAATAGGTTTTCGAAGCTGGTTAACTAATTTTACTTAATTTTTTAATTTTAAAGTAAACTAACAAACTAGTAAGCAATCTACTCAATTCATCTCGTATCCAAAGTTCCAAACACATATCAATACATACACACATACACACACACACACACACACATATATATATATGTATATAAAGTAAATGCAGTATAGTAAAAGCGCAATGGACATAATTAAAGATTTTTCATGGAAACTCCAAGGGGGAAAACCACGGGACGTAGTCCAGTTAGATCAAATCCACTACATGAGAAAGAGATTTACACAACTAGGTAATGATGAATGCAAAACAATAGATGAATGAAGAACAAACCGAAAACTCCATAGATAATCCACACCATATATAAATATTCCAATATGAATTAATGAATGCACAACAAACCCAAAACTCTAGCAGAACATTACTAGATTGCCCTCAATGAGGTCTGGTATGTTAGAGAGACTTATGATGCATGTGCTTGGTTTTCTAAATCCTATATGTCTTTATAGAGCTTAGAATCCTGAAAACTTCAAGGTTTTCAGAGAGTTAATCTGAAAAGGAAACTCAAGGTTTGCATAGCTCAATCGAGCTGAATATTGACCGACCGACAATGGTCAAGTGGCCTTGGACAGATCGATTGATCAAAGTATCCTGTAGAGTTATACTTAGGTTTCTCGAAGTAATAATTTTCCACAAACATAAATATGCATGCATGAGACCTAATTGGTGAGTGCATATGAGAGTGTCAAATTTAGTTTTGTGCCTTTGTACTTGAAGATTACCTTTTTACCCTTGATTGTAGCTTTAATCCAATTATGCTCTTGGACAAGAGGTAACTTACTAACACTACATTCAAAATTCTAAACAATATAAAAACAAGATTACAGAATCAAAATCTTTGACACGAAATTTATGAACCCAAATCCTGTTGACCCAACAGTGGTCATTGGAGATACTTATCAAATCTTCCTCTAGGCTTTGTCTGGTTAGTAAACTAAGAAGGTTGTAGAAAGTGAGGTGAATGAAAGAAAAATAAAATTCTGCATGTATTTGATTAAGATGAAAAATGTTCTTGAAATTTATAAGAAAATTTTGTTATACAGCCTAATTAGCAATCTTTATGCGAGAATCTAAGGCTTTGAAGTCCTAGTTTGACTCATTCAAATTAGTGATTACAAGGTTTTCAATATACTGAAAACTTGACCCTTTGTCTCATTTCATTGGCTTCATACAATTACATTACATGTCAGCTTCATTATCATTTTACTACATTGCACAACATCAATGTCCACTAGCCTATTCAAGCATTCAAGCTGATTCTGATGTTGTTTAAGTTTGACTTGTTGTGCAGTAAGGCTGGTGTTGTTTTAAGAGGAAGCCGTCATACTTTTTACTGTAATAGCATCCTCTTTTAACCCTGCTAAAAATCACCAGATGGATACTCCCTAGTTGCTTCCTCTGTTCTTGAAGAATGCGGCTTACATAAAAAAATCACCTTCCGGTCACTGCTCATAATGAGTGATGACTTTTTCTCACTGCTCATGGTGACATTTTGTTTCTGCTAATATGTATAGGTGCATATGCTTTTGTTTTATAGGTGCATATGTTTTTGTTTTTTCAGTTCTATGCCTCCAAGCCTGGACTTTGGGTACTCGATAACTCTGATAATTTACTGTCAGTCTGTGTTTGAGATCATTTGAATCAACCCATGTTGTAATTTCAATTTGTTTGGGCACTATTGGATCAATTATTGCAAAAATCATAGATTGTTTTCTCAAAATGCTGGTTTGAGCATTATCCTTATATGACCCTTTTTTTTGTGCTTTTGCTTTTTAGTTCTATGAAATAACTCTGATTGAGTTGCATAAAGATGTTAGACTACTAATTTAACGACCCTCTTACTTGGCATCCGTTTGAAATAGGTTCTGCACATGGATAGAAATGATTACTATGGAGGAGAGTCCACCTCACTTAATCTCAACCAGGTAACAGTTGTATGGTATATTAAGATATTGTTTGTAAAAGGCACTTTTATTAATCTCAACTAGTAACTGTTATATTGTTATATTATGATATTGTTTGTTAAAAACACTTTTTTTTTTCTTTATTATTATTTTTTATTTATGTGTGTGTGTTTGTATGACATTGAGTTGTTTCCATTTGGCCTAAAGATCTGGAAGCGATTCAGAGGCGATGACTCACCGCCAGCACAATTGGGCTCAAGTAGAGATTACAATGTAGATATGATCCCTAAGGTATTCACAGTTTCTTAAATTATTATGTTCTTCAATATTCATTGCTAACATTTTATAGGCAATAAAGAAATTGTTTGGTTTCTGGTGATCTCACATCCTATACAACTTTTTTCAGTGTTGTCCTATGTTTTTGTTTTGAACTGTTAATGAACCAAAAGCTTTTTCACTTTTTATACATCTTTTCAAACTTATTCATTTTTAATGAAGGTCTTACATGCGAATTTAAGCTTTGAACCTTGATTTTGCCCAAAAAAATGTGACTGCTGAATCAATCTGAGTTAGGCTCAATTAACCAGGCGAATCCTGTAAATCATCTCATAAGGTTCACGAGTGCATGTTTTCACAACTCTAACTTCAGATCTTACTTTTCTTCTTGGGTGCCTTAATTAACTTTGTTTCAATTTACTTATCAAAAAAAAACTTTGTTTCAATTGATTGTATAGTAAGGCCTTCCTAACTTTCACCATACAGGATTTACATGGACTTTTAACTTCACACTAGAAAATTTTAGGTGTATAAATGAACTCACACACATATATGTTATGGATATTTTATTTTAAATATTTAAGGCTATATACACTTTGTAAAATTGACATTTTCACTTCCTAGCTGAAAGCTGGACTTTCACATTGAGGAAGTATGAAAAAAGAGTATATATATAACATTGCATGGATTGAAGTATAGCATTTTCATTGAAAATTACAATCTTTGCATCGTAAAGTGCCTCGTGAAATTATTACATGCGATGCTTAATAAATGTTATGATAGTAATCCCTCAAACTTCTCTAATCGTTCTCATGATAACTGTCATTATTTATGTGTTCTGGCAGTTCATGATGGCTAATGGCGCCTTGGTTCGTGTTCTTATTCACACTGATGTTACAAAATATCTGAATTTTAAGGCAGTGGATGGTAGTTTTGTGTTCAACAAAGGGAAGGTTTGATTATTCTCTCCACCGAGTATTTAGTCTAACCTTTGGGTACATAGCATATAGATTTTAACCTCTTTTTCTGAAAAAACAACGTGTTTGACCTATTACAGGTTCACAAAGTGCCGGCTACTGATGTGGAAGCACTTAAATCCCCACTAATGGGTTTGTTTGAGAAGCGTCGTGCTCGGAAGTTCTTCATTTATGTGCAGGACTATGAAGAGACTGAACCAAAGTCTCACGAAGGGATGGACCTCAATAAAGTTACAGCAAAAGATCTTATTTCGTATTCTCTCATCCTTGTCCACTTCTATCTTGCCTTGTGCTAGCTTCTTTTATAATTTATTTACATATTATGCATTATTTATATTTTATGAACAGTTGACTTTGTTATATTCACTCATGCTATTGATTTAGCATGGAGCAGAAGTTGGTTCAAATCTAATTGCCTGACAAAAAATATACAAAGAGAAAAGAAAAAAAAAAAAAAGAAAAAAAAAAGAAAAAGAAAAAAGCAAAAATAGGCAGAAATGTATATTTACAAGTGTCTAGCTAATCTCCTTTAATATATGTTTGGTGACAATGGGTATCTGGAATGTAAGAGTACTTTTGATTTAGTGATAGAAGTTGAGGTTTAATGAGTAGAGTGGAGTTTCTAGGAATCAAATCACTTCTTCAGTAAAATATTAAAATAAAAATGAATTGGAAAGAAATAAAAATGAATTGGAAAGCAATGATAAACAAAGATATGGCTGAAGTAATTCACCACTTATATGGAACTTTGAATTGTTACCGGGCACGGATTTGTAAAGGGCTCAGTGGGGGCATGCGCCCCCACTGAAATTTTTTATTTTTATATTTTGTACCTCTAAATTTATACTTTTTTGCATTTATACTCATAAAAATTTGAAATTGCCCCCACTGAAATTATGAAAAAACCCCTCTACATAAATTCCCCCCCCCCCCCATATGAATTCCTAGATCCGTCCCTGATTGTTACACTTAGTGAGAAAATCTAATGAACTCACTTCATCATGATGGATGGTATGACTCAAACTCAATGAGCATAAGGCTTGATGATGTAAGACAGCTTTATGAAACTTAGAATTTTGCTTTCTACGAATGCTTTAATGGTGGGTTGAGGTTGGCAAGTTTGTAGCATCAGGGTTTTAAAAAGTGGAAGAAAAATGTAGGTTTTGATTGACTAAAAGGGATTGGAAGTGGCTTTGTTTTAAAAGTGATTATTTGCAGAAAGTTCAAAAGAAAAAAGAAAGTGCTATAATTTATAGACAGCAAGTATTTTAGGGTTTATGGTGTTAAATTTAAGGCTAAAAAGCAGGGAAAGGTGTTGGGACTAGTTAGCATTTGGTAGGATACTCTGTAGCTGTGAATACTACAGAGGGGTCAAAAAGAAAGAAAAAATAATACAGAAATCCCACCTAGAAGGGGGATTTCCAAAGTTGTACAATTTATTGTTTCAAGAATTACCAAAAAACGAACATGTTCATTACATAGGCTCAATTAGTCACAAAGAGGGAGAAATTGAAAAAGGATGTTAATCAACAAATTAAAGCATGATGTATAAATGGAGGAGGGCTTCTAGCATATCGTGTAATTGATGTATACCTCTAGAATTGAACTGTAAATTCTATAAACAACAATTAGACTAGTCACAGAATGTTAGGCTGGTAAGATGTAACATTTTTTTAGAAATTAATGTTGTCGAAATGCCAGCTTTGCAATGTATTTATGGTCAGACAAGAAATGATAAAATTAAAAATGAGTTGAAATAACACACACTAATTGGAGATAAAATGAGAAGAAATTGATTAAGATAGTTTGACCATAGAAGATCAATAACTGAAATAGTGATGAAGAGTGAAGAGGTCCACATTGAGGGTAATGCTAAGCAAAACAGGAAGACCAAATGCTAACAGTGTGGGACCCGCCACATATGTGAGTAGTCGGTATTTGTCAGTGTTGGGGATTTATTATAGCTCTATGGTATCAGATGGTGTGGAATGGTGAAAAGCAATTCATGTACATAACCTGAAATAGTAGGAAAAAGACTTAATTGATTGAGTATAGTGTAGATTTATTTTACGGAAGGTCCTTTTCTTAAATTTACACTCTTAAAAAACAATTTTGGATGAACCAATTGTCTTAGAGCCCAGAAAGAGAGCGTTTCCTAGTTTTCAAGGTTCACTGTCTGTATTGTTGAGAACTTGAAATAGAAGCAAGTCTAAGTAGAATGTTCTTACATAATTTATCAGTGCAAAATTTAAACTGCCTGCAACTGCTCTCAAAGAGAAACTTGATCAAATAAACCCACTTGTTCAGTAATTTTAACAAAAACACGAAAAGAATTAGGCAGGTAAGAAAACAATTTCATAAAAGATAAAGTTTGACGGCCTTAAAGGGTTACCAATGATCAATTTGTTTGAATGTAGAAATATATACTAGTCAGTCTTATTGACAATTCACTTCTAATTTACATCATTCCCATTTGCAAGGACAAAAATATTTAAAAAGACATGGGAACAGGAGTTTGGGAAGCTAAAAGTGGAGAGCCAAAAAGGCTATCACAAAACAGACACACATAATTGTATTGAACTTATTCGTCTCCATATGTAGTTAAGCAAAAATTCGCCTTTTTATTTCTCTGGAGCAATATGAACTATGGGTTTTTTTTTTTTTTTTTTTTTTTTTTTCTTGTAATGACGCGTAGTGCAATTTAACTATTCAAAAATGTGTTTCTGATATAGGAAGTATGGGCTAGATGACAATACGGTTGATTTTATTGGGCATGCATTGGCACTCCATAAAGATGACAGTTATTTGAATCAGCCTGCTATGGATTTTGTTAAGAGAGTTAAGGTGACAATTTAGCATCCCGATTTTATTTTATTATTTATTTTCAGCAATATTTTCTCAGTGATGATCTTAAAACAATTTTCTAACATTTCTTCACTGAAGTTGTGTTTAATCAATTTCATCACTTCTTTTTGTAAGATTTTGTTTAATATTTTCCTTCTTGAGAAAATTAATTGCCCGAGTTTTCAAATTCTTGTTCAAAAGTATAAAATCAATTACATATAGATGAGTTCCTCTTTTGTTTGGTTAAATTGCATTGTTAGTTAGTAATGCCTCATTGGAAGACAACTGTGGTGTTCTATTTCTTTTCTTCTTCTGTTGATCCCTGGGTAATAGCTCTGGTGGTATCTTCCATGCTCCAACTGCCTTGGTTTTTCCCTTTCTGTCCCCAACGAGTGACTGTTGCCACCATAAAACAAGGAAGGCAAACTGTGTTCAACTTCTACCTTTGTTGAATTGGATAGAAGTACATAGTTTAGAATCTATGGATGCACAACTATCTCTTATGTGCAAAAAGGTAAGGGAAAAATAGAACAACTTGATATAGATCAAGGAAACCTTTATAGAAATCTACTCAAAAAGCCTTTTTCCAACTATTTGCATGTAGTTATTGACCATTGTTGCAATGGACAAACCATCTTGAACTTTTTTCTTTCATTTTATTTTCAATCAGAGGATTCAGGGCTACTTCAACCATCTCATAAATGTGTTTACTTCTAATTTATCCTTTCTTGTCTTACCACACATCATCTCAACAGTCGCAGTTCTGGTATACATATTTTATGAATATATTGTTTCTAAGCTGCTCAACATTTTTTCAGTATAAAGTATGGCTGGTCTAAGACTGGTTTTAAAATATTTATCTTCCAACTTTGAAGGTATACACTGATCACACAATATACCAAGAGTACTGATGCATTTAAATCATCCTGATTTAGTTTACGATAAACATCGTCTCCAATTTCTTGTTGTGCATAATGAGCCTAGGTAATGAAAAGTTTGCCTTTTCATATGTCATGACCCCAATCTTCACTATATCCCTACTTGTATTAATAAATGTAATAAAGTTACATCTCATATATTCAATTTTAGTCCTACTTATCTTAGACCCTCTTGTATATAGAGGTTTTATCCATATATCTAATTTGGCACTTATCTTTGCTATAGTGTCATCATTCAAAACGATATTATCAACAAATAGAATACACCATGGAACCTCATCCTGAATGTGTGTTGTTAGTTTTTCCATAACTGAGGCCAAAAGATATTTGCTTAATGTCGATCCTTGATCTAAAACTACAATAATTGGAAATTCATGTGATCTCCCCCAGTTGTTCTTCCTATTGTCACAGTTTTACTCTTGAAAAAATTACATGAAAGGAAAATCTTCACATCAACAAGTCTTTATTAATTGTAATTTTATGGATTACCAGATGATTTTGTCCCTCAACCCTCGTGCACATCTAGTGCACTTAGCAAGAGGACATCTTATAGGGGTTGCAGCAGTAGAAAAACTCCTTAAGTACTTTCTCTGATGTGATGAACTATCATAGGATACTTAATGGATCTGAATTTATGACTCATGGATTTTAACAGATATTTTTTAGTGGTAAAAGAATCTCTCGTTGGATGGAAATTACTTTGGAGTTTCTTGTTGACAACCTCAAGGGACAATTAAGTGATAATGTGATATGCATCCTAATTATTTCTGTTCTCAGATTTATTTATTTTGAACTTAATGCATTTTATTTTACACTGTCAAATTTAAACACTTTATTTTATGGGAGGCGAAGCGCTTGGCTGGAATTGCCTAACAAAACAATCATAGTGTTGTTGAATGGTTACTAATTTTTATCCTTGAATGAACATTATCGAATAATTGTGCAATAATTTCTTCAGGATATTTATATTACTTGGTTCTTTTTTCTTCCCTAATGAAACTAAGTATCTTGTGTGAAGTTCAATACTAAAATTTGGCAGAGACATTATTTGAATCTACTTTATGAATTATGAGTTGAAATAACATACATAATTTCAATCGTTTGTCACTTAGGCAATAGGGGATTCAGTTTTAGGTTGCTGATCCTGATTCTTTTAGTTTGGTACTTTAATGTGTAACTAGTCCTCTCCTGTTAGGGTGGATAAGGACTGTAATACCTTTTGTATGCATGATACTTTTGTTCAAGATTGTAGAACTTAATTCCTGTCCTTTAACTCATAGAAAGGATGGATGCTGTTATCCCTAATAAGAAACCGTAATAAGAAGGTAACAATGCTCTCTTTTTTTGAGCTAATGTATTAGTACTTTAGTTTTATTAACTATTAGTAGCTTGAGGTATTACTTACCCTATTCTCAAACCCTCTGCTGAGCTCTATCATGCCCTCATTTCTGTTTGAAGGGGCCCAAAGAAATGTCTCCACGCACTCCACCTGCTGCAAACAGTCGTTCTTCAGATTTATACTGAAATGGGTCGATTCTCCCCTCCCATTTTTTTAGCATCTGATACTGTTGTCTGAGGTCTAATGCACACCTGCCCAAAGCTATAAGCAGGGTTTAGTCAAGTAAAGCAGAAGGCAACAGAAAGACAGAAGCGGAAGAGGCAGATTTAGGCAACCAATGTTAGACTCAAGTTCGCACCCCAACCAATAGTTTCTTTTGCTAACCTTGCCTTACCTGAGCTAACACAGAAGGTCACATTCATCTGGATGCTAAAGGAAGAGCTGTCAGACAAGAACTACTAGTTACCGGTTGTCTGTTCTTAATTTGACACTTAGGAAAATGAAAAATCTACCAAAAAATTTAGAAAACTATTTATTATTATTTTTTTTTAACTTACTGCATATCTTTTATGTATATCAAACGTACAGTATAACATGAAAGCAAGCATTACATCTGATTTAATGAAAAAACCAGTTTCTAAACCCACCTCTACTTGAATAAATTGATGTCAATGGTGCATCATTTTCCTTTTTATATATGCTTGTATTATGTGGTTGGTATCGTAGTCAGCTAATTTGTTTCAGCTTTTGTTTCAAAAAGCTATATGCAGAGTCTTTAGCTCGCTTTCAGGGAGGATCCCCTTATATATATCCTCTGTATGGTCTTGGAGAACTGCCTCAGGTATATTTCATCAAAACTGTGAGAATCTGTTAAAAGATTCAATCATAAATCTCTGACTAGTGTCACATATTGGCAGGCATTTGCCCGTCTGAGTGCTGTTTATGGTGGCACCTACATGCTCAGCAAGCCAGAATGCAAGGTAATGTATTAATATAATTCGGGTATTGTTATTTCATATATCTAGCCCTATCCATCACATCATCAGGATAATGTGGTTGGCAAACAGTCAGTTTTCAATGTGTTAGCAGAAATGTACATTACCAAGTTAAGGCTTAAAGGTAGCACCAAAAATTTGAGAAAAATATGATCTGTTCACTTTCCTTATTCTATTTAATTCACTAAATTTGGTAAGATTACTAGTTCCAGTAATGTCGATGCTTGCAATAACTCAAAAGTGGTATTTTTCATTATCTTGGATTGATCATCCTTGGGAGTCTAAGAGAAAAAGGATGCTTCCTATAGAATGAAAACCTGGTGGATCAAGGCAGAACTGCTTCTGTATTGTTATGTGATTACCAAATACTTTATAAATGCAAAGGTTTTTTTTAAGATGACTAGGAAAATATTATAAGATAACTATATGAATGGCATGCTTTATATCCAATATACTGTGAAGTGAGAACATGTTCATCTAATAAGCATACTTGATATGAGGAACTTGAGGCAGATGTGTGGCAATACTAGAAAAGAACGAGAAATGGATGCAATTGTGACAACTTAGAGGCAATGCAGTTGAGGAAGGTTAGGAAGTATTTTTAAAGATGGTATGGTCATATTTACTAAAACCAATGACAGCCCTAGGATAGAGAAGCAGTAATTTTTCTTTATACTTTTTCATGGGTATGGATTAGTTGTTAGTGGACAAAAATGGATAGTGTGATTTGATTCTGGTTGAGAAAGCCATGAGGAAAACAGGAAGCCAATAATAATGCAATTTTAGGCAGTAAGATGATGTGATTTCTGCGTTTTGATTGAGGATGTGGCCCTAATAGATTGAACTGTGAAAGGATTTTATGAGCTGGCATTTAAATAGTAGGTTGAACTGAATGTTATCTACATCTTTTTTAGTCAATCGAGTGGTTAATCGATCTGCTAACAATGTTTTACATTAATTGACACGTGATTGATGATGCTGCAACTGACAGGTAGAATTTGATGAAAATGGGAAGGCCTTTGGGGTGACATCAGAAGGAGAAACTGCAAAATGCAAAAAAGTAGTATGTGATCCTTCATATTTGCCTGACAAGGTAACTTCTAAGAGATCTCCAATTGGTGCCGTAAATCATGTTGCCTTTTACTGGAATTAAATTTCCACCTCCTGTTTATCACAACAGGTAAAGAAAGTTGGCAAAGTGGCTCGTGCTATATGTATAATGAGTCATCCGATCCCAAACACCCATGATGCTCACTCTGTCCAGGTTATTCTGCCTCAGAAACAAGTTGGGCGTAAATCAGATATGTATGTTTGCTGCATTTTTTTTATATCCTTTTCTTTTCTTTTTTTAATATGAAAATATGTGCAAAAGGCAATTTCTATGTGGTATTATAGGCATACATGCAGGCAATTTATATGAATACATATTTGCATGTGGATCTGGTTTTATACACAATTGACTTGGGAATCATTCTGCTGGCTCTGGGCTTATGTTTTGTTCTATTTTTGTTCTTTCAAAATCAGAAAAATGTTAAGGTAAAAAGGAAGTCAATCAAATACCATATGTCCAGTCCACAAACACTTGATTTAACTGTTGGTAATTGCACAAAAGGTTACCTTTCTTTTGTCTCATAAAAGTATTTAATCGACGGAAGGGGATGGTAAATGGGAGTAGTAGACAATATCTGTTTTCGACAATGCATATCCATAGAAAGTAATCTTATTTTCACGCCATCAATGGATATATTTATACACTCTTCTAATAAAGCAGAAAAGTTAAGAAAAAGTTAAATGACTTCTAAGTCATGAATACCAGGAAATATAAGAGTTTTCTAAATTCTTTTCTTCCACAACATTACAGGTACCTGTTCTGCTGCTCCTATTCTCACAATGTAGCTCCTAAAGGCAAATACATTGCTTTTGTTACAACAGAAGCAGAGACTGATAATCCTGAAGTGGAATTAAAGCCTGGCATAGATCTCCTTGGACCTACAGATGAAATATTTTTCGATACTTTTGACAGATATGAACCCAGTAACCAGAATACCGTTGACAACTGTTTCATATCCACTGTAAGTACACATTTTTTCAGTTTTTATCTACATTCATTTTGTAAGTTTGAATTTCAATTTCACTTTGCTACCCTGATAACTCAGATGGCTCAAAGAGGAGCAGAGTACCCATAATTAAAGTATTTAAATGGCATATAAAAATGTGGGTCCGTGATGCTGATTAGGCTAATAGAGCAGTAAATCTGAGCGTGACAGTGAAATCCCAGAGGGAAACGAAACCTAGGTGGGAACCCAGATAAGTTCAGAAGAGACGGTGTAAGTAGAGGTCTAAGAAAGAATCAAGTTGCTCCTGTAAGTGTAATTATGGATTCCTCAGCTTGGTAGGTCTCTTCTCGTTTATGAGAAGAAAAGGCCTCTTGATATAGTAGTGGGATTTGCAGGACCTTTAGGTAAATATCTATGTGTAAGGAGGTTCATTTCTTGGTAGACATGTAACAAGACATTTTTGTAAAGTTTGGGGTTGGGCGTTTTTTCCTAAGACAACATAGATGGCACCAATTCTGGAAAGTTTATTAAATGTCATTTGGTATGATTGAGATGTAGAACCTAGTCGTGATGTGAGACATGCTTGTAGAGAAGGCTGTAAGACTCCTTGGGAGGTGAGGTGCCTGTAGATGAGGCTGTGAGGCTTATTCATGAGTAGAAGGTCCTCGGAGTGAAGTGTGCTCGTAAAGGAGGCTTTTAGGCTTATCAATAGAGATAAGGTCCTTGAGTTGAATTACACCGGCTATGAGGTTTTGTCTTTCAAAGAAATATTTCCTCACTATTATGTGTAAAAAGGCCTGAGGCTAGGGTCCTTTAGAAATGTTTCCCCATATAGGAATTTTATGCTTTTCTCTCGAGATGTTCAGGGGATCTCTTGGGAGTGTGACTTGGAGAAGCTCTATGCCAACTAATATAGAACCCCCTGTTGATGTTGATTCCATGTACCTACGAAAAGCATTTCCACTTTATTGTCACAGCTTCCTTTTAATCGCGTATCAAGCACCAAACTTTATCACATCGTGTTGATTAACAAATAATCTACATATTAGATGGCTAGAATACCCTAGGATGAGACATTTATGATCCTAATTTTGATTTCCTAGTGAGAATCTTGAACTAGCAACGAGTCTCGCACAATCATGATAAGTTTAGCAACATCATTTCAATGTTGGAAAGGCTATAATTCAGCAATTTGTTAGCTGATTTGGAAATATGATGTTATTCTCACACTGGAAGTCTGAGTTGAAGGTGCAGTGGGGGTTGACATGCTGGGGTGTGCCTGAATGCTATCAGAGAGGTAGAAATCTTGTTGCTTTCTTCTTTTTATAACACAAAAAATTAGGAGGTGGCATGCACGGAAGTTCTCAGTAGTCCTAGAATCAATGTTAGTGGCACTAGGATGGTCCCATATCACAAATAACCGGCAGGTTTCCTTTCTTCAGTTCTTTACTTTCTTTTTGAGATTATTGGATCATTGCTTCATGCAATGGTAAAAGCTCATGCTTCTCTTTTTGAGATTAAAGTCATTAATAAACTTTCAAATTGGTCTTGCAGAGTTATGATGCAACGACACACTTTGAGTCCACAGTAGAAGATGTGATTGCCTTGTACAGCCAAATAACTGGAAAGGTAATGTTTCGATTTGATTATGGTAAATATAGACTTCAACATGTAATTGAATACTGCAATTTATTTTTAAATATTAGGAATTAAAATTTGGCTTTATTTTGTATAATTAATGTTATGAATGTTTTTTATATAGTTTTTTCCTTTAAAAATAAACAATATATTTGGTTAAGTAAATTTCTGAGATGTCCTTGATAAAAGTTGATAATAGTCTGTGAGATGCTTGCCATGGCCTATGAATCATAAAATGTCCTAGAAGACTATTTTCCTGATATTGCTGTATGACATATAGATCTGCATAAAGTATTATTATTATTATTAATTTTTTCTTTGAGACAATATCTAAGACTGGCTCACTGCTAATTGTCATACCAACTTCGAGTAACCATTGTCTTTTATCCAGCAGCACTATCAAACGCCTCCAATGGTGTCAAATTTAGTACTAAAAAGATAAAAGAAAAAAAGGAAAAATTATCAGTTAAACAGTCATCGTAGACTGGTCCTTTTCCAGAAGAAACCATGAAAACCAAATGGAAACATTTGTTGCAGTTTATTTTCTATAACAAGTGAAGGCACTTATAATCACTATAACACTAAAATGATTTCTTTATAATTTTCAGAAACATTGGTAATAAAAAATTTGAATCACATCATTTCTTTGAATTTTAATAACAATTTCATCTATGCAACAATGTTAACTTATTTAAATTGCTCATGAGAAACAAAATAGACTCATCAAGTTTGGTAAAATAACAGAATAAATTGACTTCATAACTCTGTAACCAAATCTCGTAAATATTGTTCTTTCTGAACAGCTATGAACTACTTTTTATGTTCCCCGTTGTTCCATTAAATCAACTACGCACTTGTCTTAAGGCAGTGTCCAAGTTTTATGGTAATTCTAATGGAGCAATTTCTCCTTCCTGAGAAGCTTAATCTGCCATGCTAAATTTTGGCTAATACGAGAGATGAAAACGTATCCTACCCTCTTCATCCTAACAATAGTTAAACAGAACCTCGAGAAATTCATATTGAAAAAGTAGAAAGAAATTCATATACACGATGAATATATTCTGACAATTGATCTTAGAGAAGTGTCAATATTCTTGCTGAAGAATTGTAGAGGAATCTGAAGCAGAAGGTTAAAAAATTAGTGAAAGATCACGTTTTATGTATTCTATTCTTATGTGGTTAAACACAAGTTTGTTTTGGCATACGCAACACATTAGGATCCATATAGACTAGAATAGACATTATTAGACGACACATGTTCCTTAGTCTGCAGTTTGGCTTTGTGAACAACTTGGTGTGGCTCAATTGAGAACTGGTTATTAATCAAATTATCTGATTGTGTCCTCCTTCAGACTCTTGACCTAACTGTGGATCTAAGTGCTGCCAGCGCTGCTGCAGAAGAATGAACTTTTCCTGCATGCTAGAAGAACTTGTACTGAAAGAAGAGCGTGAAGAACACCTATGTCAGATTCCTTTCCGTTATTATTATTATTTTTTTTCAATCTCAAATTACAGTAGTCCTTAAACAGATTGTCCATTTTTTTCTTCAACTGACTGATTGTCCTTACATTACTAGTTTTGTTCAAAACCTGCATTGGAATTCAACAGAATATTTGTTTCAACTTGCGGCAAGAGTTTGTTGGTTATACATGATTTGTTTATATATAAACATTAGAATTATTCAATAATACATAAAATTTCATCCTTTCTAACTCAAATCCGTGCATTGAACATATTGTCATGTTAGTAGTTACATAAATATGGGGACTGAAAGGATATCAAGAATCAGAGGTCCTGAATGAGATTAGAACAATTTCGAAGGAATGTAGTGTTCCTCAAATATTATAATTATAGATGGCTAGTAAACACCAATAGAGTCGATTTCATCCCGTTATATGAATGCGGTGTGTTTGAGAGATCATGTGTGTAATTTGGAGATGATATTGTAAATAACCAAGGTTGAAGGCAAGAATCTTTGACGTGTCTTCAATGAGACAGTAAGTGAGAAGTTTCATCCAGCCTCTCCGCATGCGGATAGAAGGCTGCGTATATCTGAGTCCGACCCTCCCCAGACCCCACAATGGAGGGAGCCTTGTGCACTGAGCTAGCCCTTTTATTCATTTCTTTTAAACTGATCGAGAACTCTCCTTATCAGTGCAAAAATAGATTCTGCCAGAAATTTGGTAGAAAATGTCTCTAAGTTTTAACTGATCTTTCATTTCTATGTCTTGATTTCTTCATTCATGTAGCCCTTTGAGCCCTGGCATAAGGCTTCTGATCTTTCTAGCTTTGTATCGGGATATTATCAAATATTTGATTAAATTTCTGCTGGATGAACAAGAAGTTCTCCCAAGTCATGAGTCATGACCATTACCTCCTATATTCAAATTTTCATATCTGTCTCAGCAAACTCAATATGATTTAAGAATGTTGCACATTACCATACTGTATGCTTAAGAGTAATCCCAGAACCTGCCCACTAACCCTACCATATACAAACCGGTTTTATCCAACGAAGCTGGAGCAATCATTTGGTGGATGAATACTAAAAGGCAGTGTGCTGGGTAGGAAAGACCGGAGATAAAACTAACATTTAGCTTAATTTTATACAACCTGATTGTTCTCAAACTTCAACTTGCTTTCCATTCTCACACTTCTTAACCCGAGCTTTTACCATTCCTCCAAGTAATTCATTTTTCTTTTCCTTTTTTCGGTAGGTAGCTATCACATACATCCACATTGTCCATTAGAAACTCGAACACTCATCTTTGCGTTGCATTTTGAGATGGGTATTGTCCAGAAAATATCTGCATTATAGGCAAAAGCCACCAAAGAATCAAATTCTTTCTGAAATTATACTATTCATGTATCAAACTCAACTATGGATCTGAGGCTGAGATGGATATGACAAATTCACTCATAAAGAAGGAAGAGAAAGGAATAGAAATGTATTCTGGAGTGAATGAGGAAAGCTGTCATGGAGTCTCAAATCTTGAAATTGATGACTCTTTTATATGGTGAAGAAGTTCATGCTTCCTGTGTTTGGTACCAAATATTTTGAGAATTGATTTTCCAAAAGGTTTTACATTTGATACAAATTGAAATTTAGGAAATTAGTTTAAGGGCAAAGTTGAATAAGCTAGAAAGTGAATTTAATAAAAATAAAAAAAAATAAAAAAATCATACAATTCAATCTTTTTTCAATAGAGTTCAGAACAATTTATTTTGTCACTTAAAATCCTTCTAAATCCAATTCTATTTCTAACTTTATCCATTTCTAAGACAATAGCCTTCTTTTATCATTGTGAACTTCATATCATTATGCACCCCATTAAATCTTCATCATTAAAGTGTGATTCACTACACTTCAATTATATTCTACATCATAAAACGTGGAAGTGTCTCATAATATTTTGTAGTTTCAACATCATTTCTGTAAAAAATAAAAGAATTGAAAAAGGTTTTTGATGCATATCTACACCACCGGAAATTTGTAAAGACTTTTTTACCCTTCGCATTAAAGGTCGCTATTTAATATTGAGGTATTGTTATAAAATTGGCTAAATAATATGGGACCAGTGTAATAAAAGAGTTACTAAAATTTTGACACCTATACAATCTTATTAGAACAAACTAATGAGATTGGTCAACACAAGTCACCTCCACCACTCTCACCAATTTCTTGACCCAAAAAAATAAATAAATAATAAAAAAATTGGAAAAAAAGAAATTAGAAAAATGTACTATATACAGAGGGAGTGAGAGAGGAGAGAAGAGAGACGCTTAGCATGGTAGACGTCCGCAATGAGTAAAAAGGCATGTTTCAATGCAAGTATTTATGCAATCCGTAATTCTTTATTTATTTTGACTGATCCAATTCATCACCATCCAAAGTTCCAAACCCAATTTCATCACTCTTCTTTTATTTTTCGGTAAATGAACCCAGTTACGGACTTCCAACACTCAAACTTCAAATTTTAAAATTCAATTTTCAATGGTTCACTTCCTAAATGTGGGTACAACTGTGATTCTTGTTGCGGACATGTAAGTCTTGGTGTCGTCTACAGCTCTTTCTCTCCGGTCTCAGCGAATCATTCGTCTGCAAATCAATCAAAAAAATGCGAACTCTCCAATCAGACCGATCGCGTAGCTCTTGAGCGCAAGCCCTAACATTCTCGAAATCAACGAGGACAAGAACGACCTCCACGTCGTCACCCTCTCCACAACGCGGAAAACTAGAATCTTTCTAATCCTAATTGGCAGCAAGCCATGACTGAAGAACTGCAACCACTAAGCAAAAGCCGATGAAATTATGAGGTGCAAATTATGAATCAATCCATATTTTTGGTCTACTTGAAATATTTAGATTGCGTGTATTGTGTATTTGCTGTATTGTCATACTTTTGAATTGACCAAAGCATGACATGCCTTCAAAAAGCATGAAAACTACTTTGAATGGCGTGGTGTCCAAATTGGCAATTGAAGATGCAAGAAATTCATTTCCCTCTTTCTCTCTTTAGAATTCTTACACCTCCACCAAAAAGATCCCCCTCGTTTCCATTCCTTATCCTATTTACAAGATATTTACAAGATATTTACTGATTGCTGGATCTGGGCCTATTCCTCCATAAGTCCTGGTCACCTTTGATGGGCTTACTCGCGTTCGGCCCATATGGCAGTGTCTTTATATGGGCCGACCCAGCTGTACGGACTGAATGTAGTGTTTGCAAGTCGGATCCGGCCCATGTCGTCCGGGGCCTCCTCAACTGCCCCCATAATTGCCCCTTATTTAATAAGGGGTAATTATTGATGGCGTCTCATCATGATGTTGACGGCTCGAGATAACCACGTGGGGGAACGGACGGTCAGATCCAGAATCAATGTTCCGGGGCTCGAGGAATTTCTCGCCTTCCCGACGCTTCGGCCCTCGGGCCCTCTCGCCTTTATAATGCTTTAGAATTCCACTTCACGTCCTTTTACCGTCTCCATCATCAGTCAAGTCTCTCTCTTTCTAGAACAGTGCTAAGCTTTTTCTGGTGAAATCCTTCAAGAGTCATTCTTCCAGCGATCTTGCAGTCCTCCGAGGTTAGTTTCGTTCTTTTTTACTTTCGGCAGGCTTCCATTTACCCCCTTTTAGATTCTTCAAGCACTTCCACCATGGTTGTAGATCTGGATGTTCTTCGTATGAGACTTAGACTTCCTGACAACATCGAAGTTAGGGTTTGCCCCCAGGACGTTAACATTATGACCGGCGCCGGCCTCCTGCCCGGCGAAGTCTTATTCACGAACCTTCAATTGAATGTTGTTAGGTTCCCTCTGCACCCTTTCTTTAGTTATGTCTTCAATAGATTGGGGATATCCCCTCTGCAGGTCAACCCCAACTTCTTTAGAATCATATCTGTTATGCTCTTGTTGATGCGTGACAGAAATCTGGACCTTGACCTCATAGACCTCCTTCTGTGCTATAAGGTCAGTAAGATCCGTACTAACGAACCCTTCTACCACCTCTACCCGTTCGAGAAGATGTCCATATGTACGGACACAATAAAATCTGAGAAGGGTTGGAGGGATAGCATCGTGGGCATTAGTGGGGCTTGGTCTTCGCCGGCTGCAGAGGATTACCCAATCCCGAGCGCCTTTGGTGTCTGTTCTGTCTCCTCCTATAAGAAATTCAAATCTCATAAACATGACTACCCCTGCGAAACATGCGTTCCTCGTTTTTGCACTTTCTTATGCCGTTCCTTAGGAATACCTTGTGATGACTTGAGCTATAGTGTTTGCAGGGATAGGAGTAACTACTTGAAGAAATACGTTCTGAACGATATTCCTTCCTGCTCAGATCTCCTCACTTCAGACAACCTCTTAGCGCTCTCATCACTCGGCTACAACATGAGCAGACTTCAGATTCCTTCTTTTGGCAGGAAGAAAAATACTCCCCCAGCCACTCCTGCTGCTGGGGCGACCTCCTCTCCAGCGTCAGCTTCTTCCTCAGCCACCATCTCTGACACTGTCCCGAGCACAGTGACTATTAACCCTGTTGCCAGCGCCCTTGCTACCAACCAGAGCGTGTCCCCCCAAGCTACCATAGCTCCTGCTGCTGCGGGGGGCGGTCGGGACAAAGAACGAGGCAAAAGGCCTCATCCTGACAGTGAAGTCGATCCTGAGGAGGAGCCTCTCATTAGAAGGACCCGGGTCTTAGGACCGGGTGCTTTCTTGCACCGAGCGATCAGAGCTCCTGCTCCCTCTGGGCCTGCTGCAGCTGGTGGCTCCGCTTCTGCTTCAGGCCCCCCTTCTATCCCCACCTTACCGCCATGGGCCCCTCGGTACACCCGAACGGATGGGACGTTCGTGAAACCGAACGAGACCATGCTGAAGGATGGCCAGACCGCTATGGCCTACTACAGGAGCATGTGGACTCCGAAGGACCTTGAGGCGGCAAAGGGCCTTTACCAGAAGGATGTGTTCAGCCGCTTTCCCCAATCTGCTATGGAGGTGACTTTTATTTTCCAACTCATGAATTATCTCATATTATTTGGTCTTGCCTTCGCCCGACCTGACTATTGGCTTAACCGTTTTTAATGTGCACCTATGCAGACACTGTTCGGAATGATGGCCATGCAGAAGCAGGTGGAGATGGGGAACGCCAGGGCCCGTAAGTTTTCTGACAGCCTGGAGGTGGCTAATA